TCCCTCCCTCCCTCCCTCCCTCCCTTCCTTCCTTCCTTCCTTCCTTCCTTCCTTCCTTCCTTGATTTTGTGGAAGATTTGAGAAGCAGCTGGAGATATTTGAGGCAGGTAAAGCCTGGCCTGCTCCCTTAACTCTGCTCCTGGGTGTGTAACAGTAACACTCAGAGCAGCTTTGGCCACATATAAAGAAGTATTAATTTGCCACAAGCCCACAGTGCTCATCAGCCTGAACTGTAAGCTCTCTGGTGTCCCAGCTGCCTGTCCTTTGGGTGCTCTGACTGCCCTTGAGCAGAAAGATCTGTGAGGCAAAGGCTGGAATTTTCAAGCTCTTTGCGACTGCCTGAGTTCCCACAGTCTTCATCTGGGTCTTCCTTTGCAAAGGACCATTCATCAATTTTTGCACATCTAAGTTATTTGAGGCAGGTCATTCATGGAAAATGCTGAAAGTAAAAGCAAAATCGAGGAGAACCTGGGGGCTCTGAGGGCTTTTCCTAACTTGTGGCCATTTCCTGCCTTTAAAAGCACAGCACGGGCTTGGTTTTTACTAGAGGCTGTAGAATAATCTAACAGAAAGTGGAAGGTAAGTACAGTCATCCCTTTCAATATTTTATGTCGTATTCGGATATGCATTTTTCAAAGATCATTTCCTTGACATTTTCTGGGGGTATGTTTCTTGGAGAGTAAAATAAATAATTTGGTTGGTGCTCATACCAATTTATTTAGAGCGATAAATAAGATAGAGATGGCTCCTGTCATTTGTACTAGAAAATATAAGGATCAGAGGAATATCCTTGGAGGACAGGGCAGAGGATTAATCATACTGTTCAGATGGTACTGAGGTTGGTTGCAGTGTTAAGCCTTTTAGCTGATCCTCACAAGAATTCCTGTTAAGAACATACTGGAGTCACTCTATGACCAAAGCACTGGCCAGAGAGGAGATAGCAGTGCTCCAGGCTACACAATTCAGTAGGGGCAGCCGGGACACAGAATTGGATTTTTAAAACGTTCGAGCCCATGCAGGTCACACCACCTCTCCAACTGGGCATGCGGATTATCTGATATTGGAATCATTCTGTGTGCTTCCCCGAGGCCAAGAATGACCTGTAAGAGGTAAGATGTCCAGCCGTTCCAATTGAAGGCTGAGGTATGTATGTGAAACTCCCAGGAGAAATAGGGAAGGCACATTCTTCCTGCTGTTTCTCAGCAATGAGTCTGCTCAGGCACTGAATCTACAGAATCATTGCATGGCTGCCAGGGAAGAAATGATGGAAATGGCCTCCCTGGGGCAGTGGCCAGGGAAGGAAGGGACCTGAAATTACAGATTATAGTCAGAAGTTTTCCTGTGTCCTGCTGGGTCCCACAGCTGCTCAGACCCAAATAAACACACACAGACTAATATTATTTTTAAACTATGGTCATGGCAGGCTTTTTGTTATCTAGTTCTTATATCTTAAATTAACCCATTTCTATAAATCTATACTTTGCCACATGACTTGTGGCTTACTAGTATCCTTACATCTTGCTTCTCATGGCAGTGTCTGGCAGCGTCTCCTCTGTTCTGTCTTTCTCCTCTCTCTCTCTAGTTAGAATGTCCCGCCTAACCTTATTCTGCCTCACCATTGGTCAAACAGCTTTATTTATCAACCAATCAGAGCAACACATATTCACAGCATACAGAAAGACATTCCCATCAACAGATAATCAACCAGAAGACCATGTACAAGACCTTAGGCAGGTGAGGGCAGACCTTGACAAGAAAAGAGCATTGAATGGGTGGAGGAGAGCATCAAGGGTAGGAAGGATGATGTCACTCAGTGGAGAAAGAGGATCTCCATGGCAACAGGAGAGGAAGGGGCAAGACACAGGGAAGCATTTTCAAGATAAGGAAATAATTTCCCATTGACTGGTGGCTGCATTAAAAAAATGTGGCATACATACACACAACAGAGTACCACTCAGCCTGAAGAAGCAAGTTCTACCACATGACACATCATAGGTGAGCCAGGACACTATGCCAAGTAGCTAAGTTCTACACAGGAAGATACATACTGTGCAATCTCACTGTGTGGAGTGTATGATTGTCAAACTCACAGAGGGACAGAGAGTAGAGGGGAGGTTGTCAGGGGCTTAATGGGTAGGTGGAAGTTGGTCAAGTGGTATAGAGTTTTCCTTATGGAGGTCTACGATGTGCTAAGATGTGAATATTACTGTGGTTATCATTACCATACTGTGTGCTTTATTTTTATTAACATCCCACTCCACCCTTAAAGAACAATGTTACACTCTTTAAATGTACATAGTTTTATTTGTTGATTATACCTCAGTAATGCTAGAAACGGGGCAGGAGACCCATTATTACAGAGAGGAGAAAATGAAGGCAGGATGGGGTGGGGCAAACTGAGAGATCAATAGCTATGACTTGGGGCAGGAGAGATGGGGGGGAGGAGGACTGGAATGAGGGTGTGGCTAAGCTGCACACTGATCCCAGAGAGCTCAGGCTTGAAGGCAGCAGGAGGTAGGAGATGGCTTTTGAAATAAATCAGATCAGATACGAAACACCTCCGGGGGACACAGATTAGTAAAGCAGGCTTATAAATCCTTTCAAAAAAGGAGACCAATCCATCAGATAAATGCAGTGCCACTTTTAAATTAATTTAATCTTAATTTTTTTTTTTGGTACTCTTATTTTCCTGAATCAGGCAGAACTCAACTTGCTTTCTTTTATCCCCCCACTGAGACAGTTCTATCCTGCAAATCGTGAGGTGTGGGGAGGCTGGGGAGAAATGAACATTAAATAAGAACAGGGTGAAGTGGCCGTATCTTTGAGGTTTGTATTAGAACTGAAAGCTAACCTCTTTTTTCTTCTTTTCAATTTTATGGTGGCACATCCAGGGTCACAGCCATTTCCGAAGCTTGGGAGACTTTTTCAGAGCTGAAGAATCAGCTGTGATTAACAAGAGCCCAGAATCCCTGAAGTAAAAGCTTTGCTTTTGGGGGACAATTGACACTGGTCTTCCAGGGCTGAGAAATTAGCGGTGATTAAGAAGAGATCAGCATCACTGAGACGAGGTCTTCTGGGAAGTGTTTCCTCAGAATCAGCACACACAAGCTGGGTTCCAGAGGTGGCCAAGGTTGTACCTTCATGCTGGCAGCTGAACTTGGCAGTGTAAGAATCTCCCAGGTGGTAGTGGTTTTGAAGGTATGAGGGTATAAGTCAGGGTTCTCTAAAGTGACAGAACTTCTAGAATGAATCTCTCTCTATAGGAAGGGGGTTTAATAGAATGACTTACATGCTGTAGTCAAGCTAACCCAACAATGGCTGCTTATGAAGATCCAAGAATCCAGTAACTGTTCAGTCCATGAGGCTGGACATCTCAGCTGGTCTTCAACACACACTGGAATCCCGAAGAAGTAGGCTCTAATGCCAGTGAAGGAATGGACTCGCTAGTGAGGCAAGAACAAGTAGGCAGACAGCGAACTTCCTTCTTTCATGTCCTTATACAGGCTCCAGCTGAAGGTGTGGCTCAGATTAGAGGTGGGTCGTCCCACCTTAAAATATCTGGATTGAAGGTGTATTTTCCCATCTCAAAGATCCACATTAGAAGTGGATCTTCCCACTTCAAATTAAGCAAAAATCCCTCACAGGTGTTCCCCACTATTTTTGGATTTTCGTTAATTCCAGATGTAGTCAAGTGGACAACCAACACTAGCCATCACAGATGGGTCCCAGAGAGCAGCTGAGGCTTGGCACTGTGAGAGGGCAGAGAGGCCGCTGGTGAAAGTGCAGCCCAGTTGTGGCAGGAGACTCCAGCGTTTTGGAGATGCCGGTACTGCAGGATGACCACCAAGAACAGCAGCAGCGGTGGAGTGGAGCCAGCTGGAGCCTAGACATAAACTCTGTGTGCTGCAGAGGGCAGAGCTGGAGCAGTGACCTAAGCCCCTGGGAGCAACCCAGAAGGTCAGGAGTGAATCCCAGATATTGGACGTTGAGTTATTTACACTGTTGGAATTTGTTTTTGCTTTGTTCAAGCTGTGGCTGTGCCCTGGTTCTTCCCTCTTGAAGTGAGACAATGTTTAACTTAATTTTGATTTTACAGGAGCCCACAGCTAAGAGGCTTTGAACTTCCAAGAGATTTTGGATTTTTAGAGACTAGATTTTTTTAAAGTTTTTTTTTTTAAATTTATTTTTTTATGTTTATTTTTCCAGACAGGGTTTCTCTGTGTAACAGTCCTGGATGACCTGGAACTTGCTTTGTAGACCAGGCTGGCCTCGAACTCAGAGATTCACCTGCCTCTGCCTCCCAAGTGAGGGGATTAAAGGTGTGCGCCACCACTGCCTGGTGAGACTAGATATATTTTTTATTATTATTTTATTTTATTTTTTATTTTATAATTTAATTTAATTTTACATATCAGCCACGGATTCCCCTGTCCTTTCTCCTCCCGCCCCACCCCCACGCCCTCCCCCCAGTCCACCCCTCATTCTCATCTCCTCCAGGGCAAGGAGACTAGATATTTTTAAAAGAACTTTTAATGTGTTAGAATTTATAAAGACGGTGGAACTTTAAAGCTATGTATGTTTGATATTATGATATTAATATTAACCTGCCATCTTGGGGATAAATGAGAAGGGAAAGGTTCTGAGTGAAAAGTGGTATTTGTGCATCAGGATGACAAGAGGTCAGTTGTGCTGGCTAGTGCTACGTCAGCTTGACACAAACTGGAATCACTAGAGAGGAGGGAGCCTCAACTGAGAAAATGCCTCCATAAGATCAGGCTGTAGGCAAGCCTGTAGGGCATTTTCTTAGTTAGTGATGGATGTGGGAGGGCCCAGCCCATTGTGGGTGGAGCCACTCCTGGGTGCTATAAGAAAGCAGGTTCTGTAAGAAAGCAGACGGAGCAAGCCACAAGGAGCAAGCCAGTAAGCAGCACTCCTCCATGGCCTGTGCATCAGCTCCTGCCTCTGGGTTCCTATCCTGCTTGAGTTCCTGTCCTGACTTCCTTCAGTGATGGACTACAATGTGGAAGTGTAAGCCAAATAGATCCTTTCCTCCCCAACTTGCTTTGATCATGGTGTTTATCACATCAATAGAAATCCTAAACTAAGGCAAATATATTAACTTACTTTCTTTTGAGGAGGAGACTGGGGACCAAACCCAGGGACTTGTGCATGTTGGGCATACCAATGAGCGATGTCCTCAGACCTTGGATTTTTTGTCATGGAGTTGGTATGTAGCTCAGACAGACCGGCCCAGAACTCACTCTGTACCTAAGGCTGGCCTTCAATTTCCAACTCTCCTGCCTCCAGCTCTCAAGAGCAGGGCTTACCAGCATGCGGTCACCTCTTCCAGCTCCACCAAACAAAGTTCTGAGGTGAATCCTATAGCAGAGACCTTGAGCTTTGTCACCGGTCAACTTGCTTTCAAAAGACCTGGCCATCCTGAGGAGCCTGGAAGAGTTCTAGTAGCATCACCTGGGTGCGTGTTAACGTCGGCAGCCACCTTCCCATGCGCCCCGGGATGCACTTCCTTCTATTTCCCTGCGCGTTCTAACTTCCTACTTCAAGGCATTGTACTGAGATCTACCATCTGCGGCTGGAGGATCAATTACTGCACTGAGCTAACAGAAGGCTTTCCTTTTACACAAGGTGGGACCTTGTCGTAACTGATACTGCAATTAAGGGTCCTATTAACCCTTGACTCCAAGACAGCTTGGAGTCTTCGGAGATGAGATGTCTGCCAAACAGCTGTCAGAGAAAATAAAGGTGCTGAATCTGCCGGTGGCTTCAAGGTGTCTGAAGGGGCTCTGACTATCTGAAATGTGGCCTTGATGCATGACAGGCCTGCCAGGGCTGGTTATCTGCCTTGTATTTTGATCTGAGCTCTTGCTTAGTTTCCTGTGGTGAATCTTTGTCTGTATCTGCCAAGAGGATTAGCTTGTTCATTAATGTGTCACTGAAGTTTAAAAATGCCCCTTACTGTTCCTCAGGTAATTATTGCGGACAGGTTTGGGGAGTATTGTGAACAGCGAGATTCTCAGCAGCAGGAGATTGGAGAGGAATACCAAGGACAGGCATGCTTCACTTTTAACTAGCTGGGCTCCTGGGTCTCCCGGGCCACTGGGTTATGGCTGCGCAAACATCTGCAGTCAGCCTGCTCTTTTTTCCCTTTACCTTGCATAGGCTGCTGTTGGTTTCACTGGTTCCTGGCTCGGAGTCACTGTTGTAGCAGGTACTTCCTATGAGCCGGAGAGGAACCTCACGATAGGCAGATTTTTCTGTCCTGCCAGCCAGCTCCCATATCACAACATGGAGACTTCTTATTAATTATGAAAGCTCAGCTGACAGCTTAAGCTTGTTTCTAACTAGTTCTTAGAACTTAAATTAACCCATATCTTTTAATCTACATTCTTTTACTTGGCATAGTTACTTTTACTTTATAAAGCCCATGCTGCTTGCTCTGTATCTCTGGCATCTCCACCCTTCTTCCCAGCATCCTCTCTGCCTAAAAATCCTGCCTAACCATTGGTTGTTCAGCTTCTTTTAAACCAATCAGAGTGACACATCTTCACAGTGTGCAAAAAGATTATTCCACACACCTCATTTCATTTCTTTTTTTGTTACTTTTCTTTTTGAGTCTCTCTCTCTTCCTCTCCCTCTTCCTCTCTGTCTCTGTCTCTGTCTCTGTCTCTCTCTCTCTCTCTCTCTCTGTGTGTGTGTGTGTGTGTGTGTGTAGCTCTGTAGTAGAGCATGTTCCTAGCATGCACAAGGGAAGTGGCTTGGGTTGGATCTTCAGCACCACACAGGAGAAAGAATTCCCATCACTTCAGTTACTTTAGGATACATCTCCTTTGTGTTTCTTCCTTGTTCACCTCTTTTTGGGGGTAATGTTCCCCATAAGACATACTGGGACACCAACATTGTGCTTGCTAATTTTATGTCAACTTGACACAGGCTGTAGTCATCTGAGAGGAAGGAACCTCAATTGAGAAAATACCTGCATAAGGTTGGGCTATAGGCAAACCTGGAGAGCATTTTTTTAATTGGTGGTTGATTGGGGAGGCCCCAGTCCATTGTGGGTGACACTATCCCTGGTCTGGTGGTCCTGGGTTCTACAAGAAAGCAGGCTGAGCAAGCCAATAAGCAGCACCCTCCGTGGCTTCTGCATCTGCTTCCACCTCCAGGTTCCTACCCTGCCTCAGTTCCCATCCTAACTTCCTTCCGTGATGGATTATGGATGGGGAGGCATAAGCCAAATAGATCCTTTCTTCCCCAACTTACTTTTGGTCATGGTGTTTTATCACATCAATAGTAACTCTAAGACAAATGTCAAAATCCCACTATGTGTGCCTCGAGACCTGTGTCTGGTGAGTTGCTGATACTGCCCTTTGTTTGGCTTTTCACTTTACCTCGTTTCCAAGATTATTAACTACTTTTTCCCTTTTCCTCCCTCATCTTCCTTCTCCCCCTCCTTCCTCTTTCACCCCCTACTCCTCTCCCCCACTTCATGGGTCTCATTGTGTAGTCCAGGCTGACCTCCACCTCTTGATCTTTGGCCTCAGGGATATAGACATGTACCACCATACCTGGATAATTTTTTCTTAAGATTCCTTAAAGAAATCAATAAGATAAGTAATGTATAAACCGGCTTACCTACTCCTCATTTCTAATTTTGGGACAGCTTGGCAAGCTCTACATTGGTTTAGCTTTCTTTAGTCTGCCTTCCTTCAGTGAATCATCTGGAAGTCTCCCTGTATCCATTTGGAAACACATTCACTTGATTGTAAGATATACTTACAATGGAGAGAACGCTTCAGAGAAATGGGCTCACGAATGCACTTATGTGTCAATGAATAAGGGCATTAACCATCCTTTCAGGTGAGACGCTATAAAGGTGAGGCTTGAAATGTTCACATTCAGGTGCTGGGGAACTCTGCTCTGCACCTGTCACTACTTTTTTATCTTCTTGCTCGTGCCTATAAGACATCTTCTTGGATATGATCAAAGAAGAGAAGAAACAGTGAAGACTGGCCAGAGAGGACCAATGACCAAGACCATTTCCTCTGAGCTGGTGGCAAGGGGATTTCCATCAGCGTTTGCATTTGGTGAGGCTCAGCCAGCCTGCAGTGGCAAAGTCAAGCTCCATAGCTAAAAACAGAGGACTCCAGACAGACTGTACTGTTGGCTGTGGGGTGGGGGTTGTCAAGAAGCTGAAGAGTTAACTAGAATCTGAGTGGACTGTATGGCCCATTACAGAAGTACATTTGGTGTTTTCTAGGAGGCCCTGATTTGAAAATAGGAGGGAAACACTTAAGGAGTCTATGAGTTATTAATCTAGTCCTGGCCATCTTTTACAGCTTTCTGGACTGTCACTAGAAACTGTCACACAATCCAGCTATGCCTTCTTGTAAGTCTGACCAGAGAATAGGGGGCCTTCTTGGCATGTTGCTGCAGTTAATGGTTTGGTTTCCTGGGCTGGCTGTGGGAGGCTGTAGGTCATAGCTCTGTTTATATGTGGTCTCACATCTCCCAAGAATCTTCTCTAGTTATATTAAGTATACTGACAATGTAGAAAGACCCTGTTATCCTTTTTTTTAATTAGTTTTAGATGCATTTTGGGTGAAATATGGTGTATAGAAATTTACATGTGTCTGTCTGTTCTTTACCAGTGTTGGTGATCCTGATGTGACTCATGGCTCAATCTCTTGATAGACTGAAAATACAATGGCATTATTGGGAGGTGCTGAGTGGTAGGATGTGGGACCTACTATGAGGAAGTTGGTCCCTAGAAGTTTGTTGCAGAGACACATTTTGTCCTGAATCCATAAGACAAAGCATTTCCTCCTTCATGTGGTTCCACAACAATGATGTCCTGCCTAAGTGCACAGGGTAGATGTAATCATAGACTAACATCTGAAATCATGAGCCAGAATAA